CGCCGCTCCCGGCGTGATCCCCAGCCAACTCGCTCGGGCCGCTCTCCGAGCAGCTCAGAGAGCATGTGACAAGCTTTGAGACCTTTTACAGCCGCTACAGCATGGATTCCAGCCGTTCCGCTTCCCACGCGCTCCAGATATGTTGCGCCGACAACGCGGTGCAAAAGTAGTCGCGCGAACGCGGTCGCGCGCGTCCGAAATCGGCTCAAAAGGGATCGATTTGCGACCATACCCTACGATCCCAGACTTTGCGCGAGTTCGGGCGTGCCAGGAGTCGCAGGGGCGTCGATCGTGTCCTATCGTAACCCCATCGTCGCGCTGCGCAAGCGGTTCCGCGTCTTGGCGTCCGTCGGCGTTTTGGCAGCGTTCGCGGTCGTGTCGGCGTTTCGGCGCTCGTCTCGAACGCGCGGCCGCGGAGTCGAAACAGTCCCCGAGGGTGTTCTCGCGGTTCAGTCCGCTCGAGGCGTGTATGGAGCAGACCGCGGTAACAAAACGGCTCTCTATGATGCCACGAGCGGCTCGGAGAGGTGGGATCGACACGATTTGAGCATATATTCGTCGAGAGCGCGACCGCCGCGCGCCCGCGCGCCCGCGATTCGCTGGAAAAAAGTAGTCAGGCCCACGCGTTGGGTCTATGCGCCGCGCGTCACGGCTTTACCGCGCTCAAATCGACGCGGTACAGCCGCCGTCTCGGCCAGACGGCGGCGGCGCCAGCGGCTGAAACAGGCCAAAAGGCAGTGTGATGCCGACATGATGCCGCCCGAGCCTCTACAACAAACAAAAGCTTGCGACTGGCCGCGCGCGCCAACGCACCGACCCGCAGCGCCGCAGCTCGCGCAACACATCGCCACACACGTGCTCGCCTATAAAATCATGTCGACCCTGAGCGTCGCCGAGGCCTGCGCCGTGCTCGGCTTCGACCCGTCCGCGGGCCTGCCCGCCGACGACGAGCTGCGCAAGGCGTTCCGCCGCGAAGCGTTGAAGCACCACCCGGACAAGAATCCCGGCGACGAGGCCGGCGCGGCGGAGCGCTTCCAACGGGTCAAGGAGGCGTCCGAGGTCCTCGTGAAGGCGCGCGACGGCGGCGGATCCGACGGCGCCGCGGCGGCCGACGACGACGAGGACGCCTTCGCGGCCTTCTTCGGGTCCTCGGACGCCGACGAGGTGCTCGCGGAGCTGCTGGTCCGCATGTACGAGCAGGAGAACCGGTCGTCCATGTCCGCGCGGCAGCTCAAGCGGTCCAAGGAGTTCATCAAGAAGATGCGCGCGCGCGAGCGCATGGCCCAGCTCGAGCGCGAGGCCGAGGCGAAGCGCGAGGCCGCGCGCGCGAAGAAGGAGGCCGAGGAGCAGGCGTTCTGGGTCCGGCAGCACGCCGCGGGCGCGCGTTCTTTGCGCGACGGCGGCGGCGGCTGCTACCTGGCCTGGGACCCGCGCGCGCTGGAGCGCGAGCTCGCGAAGCGCAAGCTGCGGCTGCCGAAGAAGCGGACGGTGATGACGCTCGCGACGCTGCTGCTGGAAGACGACGAGAAGCGGTTCCGGAGCGGCGGCTCGACGGTGCTCGCGCGCGCGGGCGGCGCCGCCGCGCCGGCGGCGCGGCGGGCCGTGCCCGACGGCTGGCAGGCGCCCGCGGCGAGCACGGGCCAGCGCATCGACGCGGGCATCCGGAAGCGCAAGGCCGCGAAGAAGGAGCAGCAGGCCCGGGAGGACGCGGAGCAGCTCGCGCGCTACAAGCGCTACGGCGCGGGCGCGATCGCGTGCTTCGTCGTGCTGACGTTTCCGACGGTGCCCTTCGTCTTCGCGTGCGTCGCCGTCTGCCTCGCGCACGCCTACGGGCGGGACGTCGCGCCCCTCGCGGTCGAGGCGCTCGCGGCCGTCGCGGGCGCCGACGCCGCGGAGCGCCACAAGCGCCACGCCGCCGGCGCGCTCGTCGTCGCGCTGCTCTTCCTGGCCCCCGCCTTCACCATCATCCTCGCCGCGCTGGGCCTCGCCTACCACCTGTGGCTCCCGAGCGCGCCGCCGAGTAAGACAGCCTAGTCGGCCTTGCGGCCCGACGCGACGACGACGAGCCAGCCGTCGGTCTCCTTCGCGACCCTGACGTCGTCGAACTTCGGGCCGTAGGCGGCGATGACGCGGTCCGCCTGGTCGAGGCGGATGCCGGACATGACCTGCGTGCCGCCGACCTTGACGAGGCCCGTGATCGTGTCCTGGAGCGCGAGCAGGGGGTTCAGCAGGATGTTCGCGACGACGACGTCCGCGGGCGGCTCGTCGGAGGGCAGCGGGTCGTGGCCGAAGTCGCCCGTCTCGAGGCGCGCGTTGACGTAGGCGACGGACGCCGCGTCCGCGCCCGCGTCGACGGGCGGCAGGTGGAAGCGGCACTCCGACGGCGCGAAGCCGTTCGACTCCGCGTTCCGTTTCGCGGCCGCGACGCAGTCGACGTCGATGTCGACGCCGACGGCGACCGCCGCGCCGTAGCGCAGCGCCGTCAGCGCGAGGATGCCGGAGCCGCAGCCGTAGTCGACCATGGTGTACATGGCCGGCAGCTCCGCCTCCTGGAGCCACTCGCAGCACATGCGCGTCGTCTGGTGCTCGCCCGTCCCGAAAGCCGCGCCGCCCTCGACCCGGAGCTGGCGCTTCGCGACGTCCGGGTCCGGCGACGTGTCGTGCCAGGGCAGGAGGATCTCGAGGTCGCCGACGACGACGACGGGCCGCGCGGCCTCCTGCTTCTGGAGCCAGTCGACGTCGCTCGGCAGCGGCTCGAGGGACCCGTCCATGTCCTCGAGCACGCCGTCGCCGTAGCGGTCCCGCAGGGCGTCGAGCACGGCGACGCCGTAGTCCTCGGAGACGAAGAGCGCGCGCACCTCCGCCGACCGCCAGTACGCCTCGCTCCGCCACCGGTCCTCGTCGAGGAAGACGTCGAGCTCCTTGGCGTCCGGCGGCTCGCCGTAGAGCGCCTCCTCCGCGTCCGTGCCCGCGTTGGAATCGCTCGCGCTCACGGACCTACACATTTTGTCGGTGACGATTTTTCATCGTTTTCGCAGGACGCTGTCACACGGACATGGCGCCGTACTCCATGAGCACCTCGCTCAGCTCCTCGGCGCTCGGCGTGTCGCTGTGGGCGCCGCCCGTGCGCAGCACGAGCTCGACGTAGGCCTCCGGCGGCGGCGGCGGCGACGTCGTCGCGGCGCGCAGCGCGAAGCGCGGCGCGCGTAATGCGCGCGCGCGCAGCGCGAAGCGCGGCGCGCGTAATGCGCGCGCCAGGCCGAGGAGGCAGGCTGCGCGAGTAGCCATAATCGCAGATATTTGCACGAGCTGCAAGGAAGCTGCATGTTGACGCCTGGGAGAGAGCACTGATGATGGGCAGCCCTTAATCGTGCTTGGACGGGTCGATGCAGGCCGCGCGGAGCTTCGCGGCGTGGTACGATGCCCACCTGACGACATCTCCCATAGTGACCAAAAGCGTCACGAGCTGCGGCCTCTTCGGCGTGGGCGACGGACTGGCGCAGGGCATCGAGGGCGGAGAAGCAGTAGACGGCGGCCGGCTGGCGCGGATGATGACCTTCGGCGGCCTCGTCGCGACGCCGTCGCACCACTGGTACAATTTCCTCGACCGGCTCGTCACGGGCGCCGGCGGCGGCGCCGTCGCGCGAAAGGTCTTGCTCGACCAGCTCACCTGGACGCCGGTCATGACGTTCTCCTTCTTCAACTTCCAGAACGTCTGCGGCGGCATGGCCGTGTCCGAGTCCGTCCCCGACGCGAGCGGCAAGCTCCTCCCGACGCTCAAGGTGAACTGGGTCGTGTGGCCCTTCGTCCACGTCGTCACCTTCGGCGCGGTCCCGCTGCCCTACCGCATCCTCTGGATCAACTGCTGCTCCTGCTTCTGGAGCGCGTACCTCTCGCTCCAGGCGAAATTGTAATGTCTATGCTTAGGGGTGCCGGCGGAGGACGTTTTCGAGCGCTTCGATGGCGTTCTTGTTGCCCTTGGCGACCGCGCGCGCTAACCAGCGTTTTGCTTCGTCGAGGTCGATTTCAGCGGCGTGAGGCCCGTGTGAAAGGAATGCGCCGAGAATAGATTCTCCTTCTGTAAATCCTTGTTGAGCGGAGAGGGTCATCCAGCGAAGCGCCTCTTTTGGATCACTGTGAACAAAAAGGGTTGAAAACTTGGCTTGCGCCATCGCGTTCCCGCGCTCGGCGGCCATCTGCCAAAGCTGCGTCGCCTTCTTCTTATCGAGTTTGACGCCATCCCCCCGAAATAATATGCTGCCAAGGTTGATCATCGAGTCCACGTTTCCGAGCTCCACACCGCGCTTGTAAATCTTCGCGGCCTTCTTCATGGATTTCGAGACCCCGCGCTTACCATGTTGGTAACAATGCCCCAATTCAAAAATTGCTTCAGGCAATTCGGACTCAACGTGGCGACGAAGTCTTGCCAGCGCCTCTTGATCCGACTTCGACGACGGAGTCCGACACAGAGGACACGGCTCGCCTCGAACTTTTGCATGGCACGAAAGGCAGACCTGCCGGCAGCAGCAAGTACGAAGCGTGGGTCTCTCATTCACGTCCCACTCCTCCAAGCAGATTGGGCACCGCGACCCGAAGTGCGCCGACTGCGGCGCCGGCTCCGGGTTCGCCTCGCGCCGCGCGCGGGCGGCCTCGTGCTCCGCCGCGATGCGCGCGCGGACCTCGTCAGCGTGCGAACGCGGCGCGGGGCCGTAGACCACGGCCTTCGGGGGCGACGGCGGGGCCTCCGCGCGCGCCGCCTCCGCCGCCCGCTCGTCCCTTTTCTTCTTGCACGCCTTCCGGTGGCCCCGATCGCGCCAATCGACCTTTTGACAGGCGACCGAGCAATATTGCGTTGTGCCGCAGGGGCACGGGAGTTTTGACTTGGCGCCGCAGATCGTGCAGGTGAGACGGGCCCGTGCTTCCTTCGCCCGGGCTTTCCGTCGCTCGTATTCTAATTTCTTGGCGGCGAGCGCCGGGTCCTTGAATGCGGGGTCCATCGTCAAAGACCCGATCGCCACAATCTCGCCACAGCAGTCTCCACAAGCGCCGACCGCTCCGAGAGGAGCGAATCTCCGCGCGCGCCGCGCCGCCAGGAGTCCCCCGGACGCGAGGATGAAGCCAACGATCGAGGACGGGACGGAGGAGGTGCGTGTCCCGAAGCGTGGGAGTGCCTCGGGCGAGGAGGGGCGAAGAGAGAGCAAAAACTGTCCCTCTCGACCGACACACGCGTGCGAGCGCGCGACGCGGCGAACGCCGCACCACGTTCGGAACGACGCGGGAAGGGCCGCGGAACAACACCGACCGACGCGCCGTCGAGCCCGCCGCGCGCGAGCCCGACCGCGAACCGCTCGAGCCGGCCGCGCGACCCCGACCGCGACCCGTTCGCAGGCGCCGCCGAAGCGGGGACTCGACGCGCAGTACGAGGGCATGCTCTGCACGGGCAAGGTCCAATTCTTCGCCGCGCTCATCATCCCCATCGTCGTCATGGTCGTCATCATCGCGGCGATCACCGCGACGGCGTAGGGCCGCCTCGCACGCTCACAGATGAATTTAGACGGACCGCGCGTCGTAGAGCGTCGCCCCCGGGTCCGTGCGCGGGTCGGACCAGCTCGAAAGCTCGAGGACGGCGTTGGTCCAGTAGGTCGCGTGGGACAGCGGGCAGACGAGGGGCGTCCACGCGTCGTCGGACGACGCGGCCTCCGCGTCGACGACGGGCACGGCGGTCTGGACCTCGTAGGTCGCGGCGCGGCCGGCCTTGGGGCTCGCCGCGCCGCGGAAGGCGTCCTTGACGCGACTCGCGGCCGACGACGCGAAGCTCCGCAGCCGCGACGCGGTCCGCACGGTCCGCTCGCGCGCCGCGTACACGGGCTCCTCCTCGAAGTCGACGCCGTCCTCGAACATGCGCTCGATGATCGCGTCGAGGGGCACGCGCGAGTCCGCGTAGGCCGCGGCGACGGACGGCGAGAAGCCCAGGTCCCGCAGCACGAGCACTTGCGCGTTCCACGCCTCCCGGTCGCCCTGCGGGTGGCCGCCGGCGACGGCGCGCCGGAAGTCGCCCCGGGGGGACGCGAGCGCCGCGTCGAGGGACGCCGCGCCGCCGTGCTCCACGGGGACGTCCGCGACGGTGCTGAGCGCCAGCGCGGCCTCGAGCTCCGCGGCCTCGCGCCTAAAAGAGCGTCGCGTTTCGCGCGAAAAAAACACCAAAAAACCACGCACCGCTCGGCCTCGTCGCGCCGGCTCCGGTCGATGGCCATGCGCAGCTGGTCCTCCTCGTGCTCGCGGATGCGCCGCGCCTGGGCCTCGCGCGCTGCGGCCGCGGCCTCGGCCTCCGCCTCGCGGCGCCGCCGTTCGTCGTCGCGCGCGGCGTCGAGGGCCGACAGGCGCAGGGCCTCCTCGAGGTCGTCGCGCTCGCGCCGCGCCAGGATCTCCTCGCGGATGCGCCGCTGCTCCGCGGCCTCGTCCGCGCGGCGCCGCTCCGCCGCGGCCGCGCGGTCGCGGTCCGCGCGGTCCGCGTCGGACTGGCGCCGCGCGCGCGCCGACTCGCGCGCGGCCTCGCGGTCCCGGGCGGCCCGCGCGGCCTCGCGGACGTCCTCCGGCGGCGCCGGGTCCGACGACGGCGGCGGCGACGCGTCGCGCGGCGCCGGGTCCCGGCCCGCGCGGCGCCGCGCGGCGGCCGTCGCCTCGCGCTCGCGCTCGCGCTGCTTGGCCCGCGCGACGCGCTCCGGGTCCGCGCGGGGCTTGTCGTCGTCCGAGTCGGGCTCGGGCGCGCGCGGCGGCGCCGCGGCCGCGGCGTCGTCGCGCGCGGCGCGCCGCATGAAGTCCCGCTCGTCGCGCGCGGTGTCGAAGGGCCGGTTGTAGCTCCGCACGACGCCGCAGACGCTGCACTCGTTCGCCTAATGTGTGGGAGCGTCGACGGCGACGAAACGCGAGAAAAAGGAACGCACCGACTCGTCGTTGGGCCGGCGGCAGACGCCGCAGCGCCATTTCGCGCCGTCGTCGGCCTTGGGCCGCTCGCGCCGCGACTGGCGCGTGCGCTTCGGCGCGTCGCCCTCGCCGAAGTCGCGCGGCGCCGCGCCGCGCGCCTCGGCCTCGTAGTGCTCGCGCGCGTGCGTCTTCGCGTGGACCCGGAGGTGGCGCGGCTGCGCGAAGCGGCGGCCGCAGGTCGCGCAGCGGAAGGGCCGCACGTCCTGGCCCGGCGGCGGCGGCGGCGGCGCGCCGGGCGACGGCGCGGCCGGCGGCGGCCGCGCGCCCGCGCCCGGCCGCGGCCGCGACCGCGGCGCGTCGTCCCGGTCGGCCGCATCAGGATCGCCGCGCGGCGTCGCGGCCCGCCGCGGCGTCGCGGGCGCGTTCGCTTTGCCGTCGCGCAGCGACTCGTAGGCCTCCTGGACGCGGCGGAACACCTGCGGGCGGCGCCTCGGAGACGACGGAAGAGACGGGGCCGCCCACCTCGACGGAGCCGCCTTTGTCCGGGTGGCTCGTGAGCGCGAGCTTCAAGTAGGCCTTGCGGATGACGGCCGGCGAGGCGTCGCGCGGCACGCCGAGCACCTCGTGGGCACTCATCCCTCAGGCGGTATCGATTCGTATGTCGTCCTTGGTGACTGTGTACAGAGCTAAGAATCTCCAGGCCTGCGGCGGCTGGCCGGAGCGCTCCGGCGCGCAGCCTCTCCCGCGATGCGCCGACCTGGTCTTCGATGGCGATGCGCCGGCCTGGTCTTTCGATGGCTCGCGTCTTCGAGCGCAACGCCGCGAAGGGCAGCCTCAGCCGCCCCCCATATCAGCCTTCCCGCTTGCAGGCCACTTTGGCGTCAAATTCACGATGGTGCCGCAAATTCGACCTACGTCGCGGTTTCGGGTTTTGTTCGCCGCCAAGCCGTGCGCCTGACTCAAGGGGTAATAAATAGTATGGGGTGGCAGCTCAACGAGATTATGTTGCGCGAGCTCCTCGTACTGCAACCCATCGTTTTGGGGCAATGTTGACGACTTTTGGCCGGGGACTTTTCGACGCCGCCGTCGTCGACGCGGCCCCAGACGGACCGCAGCGGTATTCGCTCCCCCGCGAAGGCGCCCGCGACAAGACTTACGCGTCCGGGCGGTTCGGGTCCGGTGGAAGGAAACCGAGGCGCGCTGGAGGGCACCGTGTCCGGTTTGGCGCCACGCGAGGAAGGGGGTTTTGGGGCAGCTCTTGGACGTGTTCGCGATGATGATGGTCGTGGACCGTCTGCTGGCGCTGCAGAGCCCTTCGTTGGTACCTATGGATGGGCTCGAGCATCTCAGGACACGAAAAGTTCTCGACCTCGAATGCCCGCACGCTGCCCGAGAAACTGTGTTGCGACACCGTCGGCGCCGGGGCTGCGCAGGCTCTGAGATCGTGGGAAAAGTGTGTCCTGAAGGTTTCGAGCCCCCCGCGGGTACCCATAGGGCGCCTCCAACCTCTAAGGACAAGAAAATATCGCACACTCGACTCACACCGCCGCCCTCTCGTCCCGCCGCCGAACAACCGTCGCGCTCGCGAGCCAACGCAATGATCTCAGCAGCCCAAATTCGCTGCCCCGCCCCGTCGAAGGGTTCCGCAGCCGCGCCGCGCCGCGCGACCCGCCATCGTTGCACTCAGCCCGCGCGCTGCGGCGTGGAAGAAGAAAGAAAACGCTAGCGGCGGCCCCGAGTAGTACGAGGACCTCGCGTTTCGCCTGCCACCCCATCTAGATTTATATCCCCTTGCCTGACTCGCCCAAAGGTGGTATTTCCAACGCGGGAAGTCGATAGTGAGACCGGAGGACGATGGTGAGATGCGGCCGATGAATGGCTGGGGGGCACCGGACTACGGCAACATTGCACCTTTGATTCGACGATCAAAGCTCACGCACTCAGCGGCCGCGCATCATGGACGCCCGATCACGGGAACTCAGCACGCAAGTCGGGCCCGATGAGATTCCGGCGAGCCACCTCGTCATGCTCGAGTGCGGCCACAGCCTCACCTACGACGCCGTGACGAACTACAGCCGCGCCATCAAGGGCTCGATCCAGCTGCGGGAACCCGCGTCATCGCCGTTTGTTCGCCGTTCCCCCCGATCCCCGGGGTTTGGGGCACGCGCGGCCCGCCCCGGGCGCCCGGCCCATCGGGGCGCCGCCGGGGACCGATGCGCCGGGCCCCGGGGCGCCGGTTCCCCCCGCGCGGCCGCGCGCGGGCGGACCTTCTTCGAAATGTTCTGTCAGAGCGTCGGCGGAAAATCGCAGGTGCGTCATGTGCGGCCACGGGGGCTGCAAGGCCGGGGGCGTCGTGATCCCGCGGCAGAACAAGGACGTCTGCCGCGAGTGCGACAAGGCGCTCTGGCGCCACGAGACGACGGGCGCGCGCGACGCCGGCGCGAGATTCGAAATCGCCCGCCGGCCGCCGCGACCGCGGCCCCAATCCAGGTACTTCAAGTGGTGCAAGGGCTGCAAGAACTTCATGCAGATCGGCCACTTCTCGCAGAAGCTCGACGCGGCCAAGTGCGACAAGTGCCGCGAGCGCGGCCGCACGAGCTACCTGCTCAAGAAGCGGTCGGGCGGGTCCGCGACGCCCAAGGCGCCCCGGGGCCGGGGCGTGTCCATCGTCGAGGAGGATTTGCAGGAGAACCCGCACCTCGACGGCGCCGCGGCCATCTCGCTCGTCGCGCTCGCGCGCACGGGCGAGGGCCGGAGCCGGTCCAACTCCATGTACGACGACGACGACGCGTCCGCGGCCGAGGCGGCGTCGGCGGGCGACCTGAGCGCCGTCGGCGAGTCCGCCGTCGAGGCGGCCATCGCCGCGGCCCGGGGCGCGGCGCCCGCGGCGCCCGAGGACGACGCGCGCATGTCGAGCAACTTCGGGTGCTCGCTGCTCCAGTACCAGCGCAAGCGGTCCCTGAGCGAGGCGACGGACGACGAGGGCGCGTCCCAGGCCGGGTGCGACGCGCCGGAGCCCGCGCCGGCCGTCGCCGTCGAGGACGACGCGAGCTCGCAGAGCGGCGCGGGCGACGCCGCGGCCGAGGACAAGGGCATGCTCTTCGAGCTCGCGAACATCCACGCGACCATCATCAAGCTCGAGCAGCGCGCGGGCCAGGTCGAGCCCCTCGAGGCCCGCGTCGCGGACCTCGAGCGCCGGCTCGAGGCGTCGGCGGCGCGCGAGCGGCTCCTCAGCGACGCGCTGGCCAAGGCCGCGCCGGGCGAGACGCCGAACAAGCTCGCCGACGACGCCAAGCGCCCGCGCCTCATCTCCTTCGACGACAAGTAGCCCCCGCCTTTCGACATCTTCCGTGTTGTGATGTGAGACGTGCACAGTACCGCCCCCGGCCTCGGCGGCCGGCGCGCGCCCCAAAGTCCAGTCCCGCGCGCGCCGCCGCCTCGAGCGCCCCCCTCCCTTCCTTTTCTCCGACCGCCCGCGCACCCGACCCGGGCGGCCTTTTGTCCATATACATGCTTTCTTTCACTCGTGTTGAACGTCAACTTCGCCGATTGCCGCGGCGCGATGGCCGCACCGACTCGCCGTGCACTGGCGGTGTTCGGCGCCAACACGGACGTGGGCAAGACGCTGTGCTCCGCGGGGCTCGTGCTCGCGGGCCTGCGGCGCTCGGGCCGCGCGGCCTACCTCAAGCCGCTGCAGACGGGCGTCGGCGGCCCCGACGAGGGCGACGCGGCCCTCGTGCGGCGCTGCGCCGTCGCGGCGACGGGCGCCGCGCCGCGCTGCGAGACGCTGCACGCCTGGCCCGAGCCCGTGTCGCCGCACGTCGCCGCCGCCGGCGGCGCCGCGCCGAGCGACGCCGCGCTCGCGGCGGAGATCGGCGGCTGGGTGCGCGCGGCGGACGAGGCGACCGCGGTCGTCGAGACGGCGGGCGGCGTGCTGTCGCCGTCGGCGGCGGGCGGCCTGCAGGCCGACGTCTTCGCGGCGCTCGGCCTGCCGACGCTGCTCGTCGGCGACGCGCGCCTCGGCGGCGTGTCGACGACGCTGACCGCGCTCGAATGCCTGCGGAGCCGCGGCGCGGCCGTCGGGGCCCTCGTCTTCGTCGGCGGCGACGCCGCGCTGGGCAACGCGGCCTACGTCGCCTCCCGGCCGGGCGCGCCGCCCGTCTTTTCGCTCGCGGAGCCGCCGCCGCCGCCCGCGCCGCTCGACGCGTGGCTCGCGGCCGAGGCCGCCCAGTTCGACGCCGCCCTGGCCGCCGTGGTCGGCGGCGAGAGCTAGCGGCTTAGAGCGGTGGGGAGCGTGTCGCTGCGCGCCGCCGGGGGGGGTGCGTGGGCGGCGCGCGGAAAAAAGATGGCGGCTAGACGGCGATGACGGTCTTCTTGTCCCCGGCGCCGTCGCCGCCCTTGTCGTCGTCCATGCCGCAGGACGTGTCGTCGTCGCCCTCGGGCGGCGCGTAGACGGGCTCCTCGCCGACCTTGACGCCGGACTCGATGAGCGCGTCGAACTGCGCGCCCTGCCAGTAGGCGACGTAGATGAGGAAGGAGCTCACGCCCATGGCGACGAAGGACCCGTAGGTCAGCAGGTCCGCCGCCGAGTCGGCGAACTGGTTCGTGACGACGGAGCCGAGGGCCTTGGAGCCGCGCGCGCCGAAGACGTCGATCCAGGACTTGGCCTTGAACTTGACGGACGACGACGTCGGCTGGTACAATATCTCCTTGCACGGGTTGTTGAGGCAGTAGGAGAAGCCCTTGAGCAGGAGCATGGCGAGGAAGACCATCTCGAGCGTCGGCGTCGTGTAGACGCAGCAGATGGCGCCGAGGCAGAGCGTCGGGAAGAGGAGGAGCGTCTTGTTGAGCCCGAGGCGCCGGATGACCATCGACGTGCCGAGGAGCGAGAAGACGAAGGACAGGCCGTTGGCCGCCTGGCCGAAGACGCCCATGAAGGTCGCGAAGGCCTGCGTCGCCGCCGTCGGGTCGCCGGGGTGCTCGCCGTCGAACTTGCCCTTGGCCAGGACCTTCATCGAGTAGTCGAGGATCGTGACCTCGACCATGAAGAGGCACGACAGCGCGAAGATGCCCTTGACGTAGTGGTACTTCCAGAACAGCACGAGGCCCTCGGTCATGCCCGCCTTGGCCTTCTTCTTGCCGCCCGACGCCGCGGCCTCGGCCTCGGCCTTTTCGGACTCCGGCGCGCCGAACCGCGCGTTGTAGCCCCAGATGGACACGACCATGAAGACCATGCAGAGCGCGCCGCAGAAGTAGATCGTGGGCACGCCGTAGCGGATCGTGCCCGCGGTGACGATCGTCGGCCCCGCGATGGAGCCGAGCTGCGCGCACGCGACCATGAGGCCGTAGGCCTTCTTCGCGCCCTCGAGGTTGTACGTCGAGTTCGTGAAGGCCCAGAAGAGGCTGACGCCGATGGAGCCGAAGGACTCGATGGAGCAGTAGGAGACCCAGCCCAGGAGGCGGTAGGGCGACGGCTCCGTGTTGTAGATGGACAGCGAGCTCGTCGCCGGCAGCGCCAAGGCGACGGCGATGATCGTGAAGAGCGTCGCGTAGAAGCCCCCGACGATGTAGAAGAGCTGGTGCTTCGGGAACATGTCGATGAGCTTGTTGTAGACGAAGACCAGCACCGTCACGACGAGCACGGACAGCATCTTCGCCTTGGGGATGTACTCGACGCCGCAGATCGTCGCGATGACCGGGTCCTTGAGGGACCGGAGCAGCCAGTAGCCGCCGATGATGAAGAAGAGCGTGCTCGACAGCCAGATCAAACGCAGCTTCTCCTCGAAGCTCATCTTCCCGTAGAGCCGCGTGAAGACCTCCTCGAAGTAGGAGTCCGCCGCGCGCGGCGCCGTCGGGGACGTGGCGCTCTCGAGCTCCATGCCCTGCCAGGCCGTCGCCTTGAGCTCCTCCGGCTCGCCGGACGACTTCTTCACCGCCATTGTCCCGCGGGGCGCTGGCGCCGGCCGACCCCGGGCTCCGCGCGTCGACGACGAGACCGTGTAGTCGCGGACGACGTCGTCACAATTGGGGGCACCGCCGACCTCACCGGCGCATGCGATCGCCGCAACATTCGCCTGTGGCAGACATGCCCCTCGACACCGACGAGCTCGTGGCGCTCGAGCTCTTCCCGGACGTCGTCGTGCGCGCGGCGTTCTTCGAGCGCGTGACGAACGGCGGCGCGCTGCGCGAGCAGATCCTGGCCAAGACGCTGCCCTGCGCCGCGGCGCTCGTCGACGCGTCGCTCGTGCTGTCGACGGCCGTGCTGCGGTCCGCGGCGACGCAGGCCGCGCGGCGCGCGGACCACGGCGCGTCGCGGCGGCCGCACGTCTGCCGGTCCAACGACGCGCCCAAGTCGCGCGCGCCGGAGACGGACCTCGTCTACTCGCTCGCGCCGCATTCGCAAGTCGGCGCCGCGCTCAAGGAGCTCGGCGTCGGCCCGGAGACGTCGCGGCTCCTCGTCGTCGCCTTCGGCGCCGAGGCCGGCGCCTTCGGCGCGCTCGTCGACTGCGTCGCCGGCGAGCGGCGGCCGCTGGCGGCGCTCGACGCGGACCGCGACGGGGACCGCGACGCGGCCATCGCGGCCTACTTCTCGGTGGCGCCCGGGTCCCACGAGACTCTGGAGCGCAACATCCTCACGAAGCTCGCCACGAAGGACGTCAGGTAAGTGCCTTGGTAGGGAGATTGGAGGAAATGGTGTTGTTTTTAGGGAGCTTCAACCTAAACGCTTAAACAACTTTCCCGCCGGGCTAAAAACTAAAAAAAGCAACTCGACCGATTCCTCGAAAAAGCAACTCAAACAATCAGGCTGCGAGCAGCCCTTTTGCAGCGTCGATGGACGAAGTTCTCGTCTTCTCCAGCCCGTAGCTCGACGCAGGCGCAGAGTTGCGCAACGATCCCCGCGGCTGCGAGGACCGGAACCCTGTCGCGGACACATTCCCCGCGGGATGTCACTCCCGAGGATTGCGTCGCATCGCGCGCGGGGCGTCCCAAGGGGTCGGAAGAGGGTTTTCGGCGTCCCCCGCACCCTTTTCGACCGTGTTCGAGCGCACGGAGCATCGGGAATCGTTCGTCTATGTACCGCGGGCGTCCCATTTGATCCGCTCGGCCATCGACGTCGAAAACATCGACCGCCAACTCGCGCATAGAAACGTGGCGCGGCAGCCCGAGCGGCCCCCACGTCCAGAAACGCGGTCTGGGCCGACACCACCGCCCGAGCCCCGTCCCCAGTATGTGTCCGGTGGGATCGAGTACATCTCCAGCGGTGGAGGGCCACCCCGCGGTGCCGATCTCGGCCGTTTCGTCGTCCCCATGGAGGCCCGGAACGCCGACTTCACGGCGTCGGCCGCTGCAGTAGGAAATGTGCTGATC